AATAAGCTATATAATGTATCAGACGGTAAGCACTAATGGGAAATTAAAAAGTAGGAGGTGGCAGTTCGTATTCTGAGGAGAGTAGTGAAGGAGGGGATCTCCAATAAGAAGACATTTGAGCAAACACCTGAAGGAAACAAGGGAGTAAGCCAAGTGAGTACATGAGGGCAGAGCATTTCCAAGCAGAGGGAACCACAGACAACGCAAAAGCCTTGAGGCAGGGGCAGGTTGGCAAGTCACAGGACAGGAAGGAGCGCAGCAGGGCTGGAGGAGAATGAGCAAGAGAGAATTATGACAAAGGAGAGGAACCAGAGGGCCCAGAGTTCTCATAGGGCCCAAGGGCTACCTGAGGACTTTTGCCTTTACTCAGAGTGAGATGGGAAAGGAGGGTTTTGAGCAGAGGGGTGATACTAACACACATTTTGCAAGAATCACTGTGGCTGCTGTGGGGTGAATAAACCAAAAAGGGCAATGGTAGAACCCAGGAGACCAGCTGGGAGCCTATTGTAAAATAAAAGATAAAAAACCACAGTGGCTTAGACCAGAGAAGTAGCACTGGGAGATGATCAGTAGGTGGATTCTTGATGTACCATGAAGGTAGCGCACACAGGATTTTCTGATAGACTGGACGGGTGGGTGGGTAAGAGAGAGACGAGAGAGAAAGAAGTTAGGAAAAATGGAAGGATAAGAAAGATTTGGTGAAGCATAAACATGAGGGGTTTGATCTCCAGAAAGAGAGGAGGGAGTAGAACAAAAATGCAATCTAGATAAAAATTGTATTTTATGCATTCCTGTCCCTCTTCCACCTTCTAGCATCCACTCTCCCCCGCCTCAATCTTGTACAGTACAAATTATACAGGCCACAATCTCAAGTATGTCTAAAATCATACCAAAAGTTTAAAACAAAAAAAATTTCAAAATACTCTCCTAAACAAAATTTTGGATCAAAGTGAAAACCAAAACTACAATTATAAAAATGTCTAGAAGTAAACATAAGAGTAAATCTTTGTGACCTTGGCTTACGCAAAGATTTCTTAGGTACAACACCAGGAGCACAAGCCACGAAAGAGAAGATTGATAGATTGGACTTTATCAAATTTCAAAGTTTCTGATCTTTGAAAAACACTGTTAAGGAGAATGAGAAGTCACGGACTGAGAGGAAGTATCTGCAAATTATATCCCTGATAAAGGACTTGAGTCCAGAATATATAAAGAAATCTAAAAATTCAATAAAAAGAAAACAAATCACCCAATTGTTAAGGAGGCAAAAAATTAAAACAAACATTTCCCCAAAAAAGATTTACAGATGGCAAACAGGCACATGAAAAATGCTCAACATCATGAGTTATTAGGAAAACACAATTAAAATATAATGAGATGTCACTACATATCTATTACAAACGCTAAAAGTCCAAGCGTTGGCCAAGAGGTGGAGGAACTGGACTTCTCATATCTGCTAGTGGTAATGTAAAATGGCACAACAACTTTGGAAGACAGTTTGGCAATTTCTTAAAAAGTTAAGAAATTATCCATTTGTTCCAGTTATTCCACTCCTAGGTATTTACCCAAGAGAAATGAAAACATATGTCCACACAAAAACTTGTACACAAATATTCACAGCACATTTATTTGTAATAGCCAAAAACTGGAAACAACCCAAATGTCCATCAACAGGTGAATGGATAAACACATTGTGGTAAATCCATACAATGGAACACTACTCAGCAATAAAAAGAAATAAACAATCAACACACAAAAAAACATGGATGAATCTCAAAATAATTATGCAGAGTGAAAGCAGCCAGACCAAAGAAAAAGTGTGGACTCTAATATCCCATTTATATAAAAATCTAGAAAATAAAAACTATTCTATAGTGACAGAAAGCTGACCAGTGGTTGCTTAGAGATGGAGAGGTAGGATTTATGGGAAGCACAGAGGCACAGCAGGAGGTATTACAAAGGAGCAGGAGGAAACTTTGGGGGACAATGGTCATGTTCATTATCTTGATTTAGATGATGGTGTCACAGTGTATACATATGTCTAATTCACTTTACACAGTGCAGCTTATTATATGTCAGTCATAACTTCATAACCCTGGTTAAAATTTTTCATTGTGGGAAATACTACAATAATAGTGCTTTGTGAACATAATAATTAGAATACTGTATGTCAAACTTTAAAGCCAGAATTATAATTTTTGATAGGAATTACATTAAATGTATTTATCAGTTTGGGGGAAATTAACATATTTACTATATTGATTCTTCCAAATTATGGATGTGGTATATTTCTCCATTTATTTAGATCTTTGATTTCTTTCAACAGCATTTTGTAGTTTTCAGCATACAGCCCTGCACGTTTTGTCAGATTTACATCTAAATTTTTCTTTTTCTTTCTTTCCTTTCGTTTTTAAGTGATTGTAAATGGTACTGTATTTCTAATTTTGGTGTCCACATGTTCATTGCTAGCATATTGCACATAGAAATACAATTGATTTTTGTATGTTTATCTTAGATCCTAAAACCCCACTATACTCACTTAATAGTTCTGAGTTTCTTTGTAAATTCTTTGGGATTTTCTACATGGCCAATCACATCATCTGGGGAAACCACCACTTAAAGTGAATCTAAATTACCATGAAGTCCAAAATTACATAGTAAATTTGGGGGGGAAAAGTCTGATTGGGATTTTATCTTAAAAATAAAGCCAAAGTATTGAAATAAGTTTACTTTACGTTATATTGCACAAGATTTAGATTATACTTACAACTGTCCGCTAATTCTTAGAGAATGAATTAATGTGGGAGTTGGGAGGAGAGAGACATAATTCCCACAATCTTATATGAAACGGCATCCTTCATGTTTAATTTTTGCAATGCAATCATTAAAAATGTCCCTTTTTGCAAAAAGGGTGTGATGGTTTCACTGATATTTTTCTTTTTAAGATTTTTATTTTTCCTTTTTCTCCCAAAGGCCCCCCGGTACACAGTTGTGTATTTTTAGTTACGGGTCCTTCTAGTTGTGGCATGTACGCCCAGGATTTGAACCAGCGAAACCCTGGGCTGCTGAAGCAGAGCTCGGGAACTTAACCACTCGGCCACAGGGCGGCCCCTATTTTCAGTGATATTTTTAAAGTTGTTCCTCATCCTTTGATCCTGAAACTCATTCTCTTGAAATGCTTACTGCATCACCATCTTTGTCCATTTTCAGTTCTTCTGTTCTCAGCCAGTTCAGCGCTGCTGCATCCACAGTGGTCAACGGCTTTGCAAAATTCAAGCAGATTTCTAATACCACTTTCATCAACTTGATTAAATTCTGCAACTTTTACAAGATCCGTCATTTTATTTTGCAGTCATGTTACGTTGATTATTGAATATTTACAACATCGGACGATAAGCACAATCATTAGTGAATACTTTTTGTTTTCCTATGCAGTATCATTCCCGTGGAGACTCCAACAACAGGCACGCCACTATTGTGAATCTTAAAACATCCATAAGCCTTTGTCCAGAAAGTCTAGTCTATAAATTTCATAATTAAAGACATGTATAAACATTTACATACACATATGTTTACTAGAATATGTAAAAGAACAAAAAATTAAAGCAACCTGAATGCCCAACAATAGAAAACTGGTTAAATAAATGATGGTACATTTATAGGATGGAAGGCTATGTAACTATGAAAACGCATGATGAAGAAGAGTTCATATGATGAGAAAATTTTCATAATCTGTTAAGTTTTAAAGACAGAACAAAAAACTATCCCAGCTGTGCACGGTTTAAAAACATGTGTTTAAAGAAACTGCATACATGTTCACAAACATGTAAAAAAAGGTGAGAAAGGACTTAAACCAAAATGTAGGTAGAGATGACATGTATGCTACAATTTTAGGAGGGATTCAAAATTTGCCTTCCATGTTTCAGCAGATTTTTCAATCTTTCTACAACGTGTACATTACCTCTGAAATTTTTTTAAAGGCTCATAGTTTTTAAATACATAAATAAAATTACCCTGCTTCTTAACAACATTTCATATCCACCCTCATCAAAGACATGGCCATGAGTGACAACAGAAAGGTGAAGAGGAGAGGGTCACTTGATGGATGAAACCATTAGCACAGCTGCTGAAAGCTGTCGCCTTTCATCTGAGCTTTCAGGGGGGATTAACATTCCAGGGCTAACACGGCAGCTGTCAGTGCGCGCAGAGGCCCGGGCACATGCTACACATGCCAGTGTCCCCAGGCACCTTTGCTGCAGACTGTATCAGTCACATTTTCCTAAGTGGGAAGCAGAAGAATCAGCTGTGGGCACATGGAAAGAACCTTACTTAAGGCTGGAATGTACCAGCCTGATTCCTCCCTCCTGGCTCCCCGGGCCACCAAGATGCCGTTTCCGGAGCCCACAAGGAAAAAGAAAGCCTCTCCGGGGGTGAAGGAGAAAACACTCCCCTTGGGGACCCACCCAAAACGGGGATTTTCTTAGATTATAGTAGCCTGACCTTCACAAGAGAGCGGACTCTTTTCTCCCCTCCTCACAGAAACTATGGCTTACGGCTCTCTCTTGGGGAAACTGAGGTACGATGCAGCGCGAGGGCTCAAATTATGAGGAATTTTGATAAGAGCATGGATGGCAAAGGTGGTGCCTTTTGAGCAACAGAATCATAATTTTTTCCAGGATTCTGAAAAATGATTCAATTGATAGCCACAGATTTTAGGACCCAAAATGGACTGAGCACCATCTATTATATAAGTTTACGTATATACAGTACAATCACGTGCCTACACAGGCAATGAAAAATTTCAAATGGAAACTGGCGACTTAAAAATTTTTCCAAAATCTCCTTCTGGCCAGTCACGTCAAGAGTCCTGCGTTCAAATTCCCGCCCCACGGCCAGCTTCACAGCCGCCGGCAGCCCTCTGACTCCCGCAGTTACGCTCAGGGAACACCGGGGGACCAGCTGGGCCCTCAGCGCCCGCAAACTCTCACAGCCTCACTCACCGCCCATGTCCCACTGTCGCCTCCAGGCGGGTCTTGCTCTGGGCGGGGCACTTCCGGCCTCTCCTTCCCTCAGCCTGGCTTCCCCCATGATGCCCTGGGGCGCACCGGAAGTGATCCTCCCCTCCCTGGCAAATTGAAACTTTGTTTCTTTCCAATGGACTTTGGGTGGGTCCCTTCAAGTCGGCACTGCTGTGCTTTCTTCCATTATCAGTACTGCGATCCACCCGCACACCCCCAACTAGATCATAAGCTGCTGGAGAAAACCAACTTTTTATCCACGATGCCTGGAACGGTGTCTTCATAAGCCACCTGTTAACTGAGGGGCGCTCAGTAAATTCTTTCTGTCTGACAGAATGAAGCAAAGCTGAATAGAAAAAGAGCAGATAATCGGGCCAACACGCAGCACAGAATAAGGAAGAATAAAGTCGCCTTTCTACCAATAGCTGACATTTAAGGCCTGAAGTCCTTACCTTAGTTTGCAAAGCTCTGACCATCTGGCCCCTGGCCACTTCTGCCGCTTCATTCCCTACTCCTGTTTCCCTCGCTCCCTTCACCCCTGCCCTACTGGCCTTTTTTCCTTTCCCTGTGCAGGCAGCTCACCTCCCAGAGCCTTCACATTTGTTTCCCCTGCCTGGAATACTGTCCCTCTGATAGTCTTATGGCTTCCTCCTTCACTTCAAATATCACCTCTTCAGGAAGATTTCCTTGATCAACTTATTTACACACCACACAACCACTATTTCCTTATCCTGCTTTTCCTTTCCTTCAGAGCATTTATCATTAACTGACATTAGATATCTGTTTGTTTGTTGTCTGTCCCCATATACACACACCCTAGAATAGAAATTTTTTTTGGCTGAGGAAAGTTGGCCCTGAGCTAACAACTATTACCAATCTTCCTTTGGTCGCTTGAGGAAGATTCACCCTGAGCTAACATCTGCGCCAGTTTACTCTATTTTGTATGTGGGTCGCTGCCACAGCATGGCTGCCAATGAGAGGTGTAGGTGGCACCCAGGAGCCAAACCCAGGCTGCCAAAGTGGAGTGCCACAGACTTAACCACTAGACCATAGGGCCGGCCCCCTAGAATAGAATTTTCATGAGGAGAGAGACTGCCTGTGTTGTTCCCCAGCACTTAAAATCCTCCAGAGCATAGTAAGCCCTCAATTAATGATGAATAAACAATTGAATCAGTGTTGCTGACTCTGTGCATTACAGCTTCAAAATTAGCAGTTTGAGGTGTGAATTTCTTCACCATCTAGCTTGGTGAAAGATCTCAAGCTAGTTTCACCTAGCCCTGGCTTGATCAGATTTGAGGCTTTTGCCATGATATTCCCAACAACCTTTCAATGAGGAGCTTATCTGGGTTTGCCCAGGACTGTACCAATTTTAAAACTAAAGGTCTCAGGAACATCTTCAGTCCCAAGCAAACTAGGACTGTTGGTCACCCTACTTTCAGGTATCCAGGCTCCATCTTCCTTTTGTTTTATTGTTGTGGGGGGAGGTATCGGCAGGCAGGGTGAGGGTGTGGACCTAAGAGTGTTCTGGGCCATCTGAACAGGAAATTGGCTACACATGGCAGGTAGGATGGAGGGACCAGATGGACCATGGTCAGGCTGTAGTCAGCTGGCAGTCTCACCAAACAGCAACAAACAAGACATGAGAGAACATCATAGATGTTGTCCTGCCTTCCGGGGCCCTCTGGCACCGGCAGGGGTTGGTGCTTTCTCTACTGAAAGCTCCTGGTTTCTAAATCTCAGGTCCCGCCCACTCTCCTTTTTCCAAACTATCACATCACTTCTAAATAGTACCCTGTTGTGCATTCATTAACTGAGTTGTCACTAGAATCTCATGTCGCTATTACCACCATTTTATCAATGAAGAAACTGAGGCTCCAAAAAGTTAAATAACTTACCCAAATTCACATAGTTTAAATGGTAAAGTCAGTATTTGAATCCCAGCATTCTGACGGTCAAGGTCAATTCTTAGTTACTACATTGTCATGCAATTTTAACAATATAAATGCATATTTTGGCTATGTCCAGCAAAGGATATATCTTTTTTTTTGTTTAAGGACACATCTTTTAAGACCCAATAGCAGTAAGTAAAAGGAATTGCTTATTCTTTTCTTAGTTCTAATGAGGCTTTAAGCAACTGAAATAACCAAAACACAACTAATAGACAAAAAAAGGTAAATGACAGAGACTCTGACCCTTGCAGGTATCAGCCAAGGTGATGGGGCCAGGCGGGGAAGTCTCCAGTTTATTGAGCAGACCTAGCTGGTAGGACTTCTTCTCTGAACATAATGTTCCCAGGCCATCCACACATCTCTCCAAGTTGTTTCAGAGAAGGGCGCCTGGTTTGTGTGTAATTCTGAGATGCATGTATGATTCTGAGAGCATTAGTGTCTTACAGGATCTTGCAAAACCAGAAGCAGCTGAATTGTAGTGAAAAGACAAACCAGACTCGGAATCAAAGATGTTTCTTCCAGTTCTCACTCTGCCCCTCGCTAGCTGTATTACCAGGCACCTAACCTTGCAAAGCCTCAGTTTTCCAACATATAAAACTGACAAATTTATTTCCTCTTTAAGATTTAAGAAGAGTCCATTTAAATAATTCTCTTGATAATCCCCTATCAACTTTCTGCTTTGCAAATTTTCAGTGTATAAATGCTAGCAGTGAAGAAGATTGTGTGTTGCGTTTGAAAGAGCTCTGAACTAGCTCTCCTGAGTTTGAGAGCAGAAGAGGAGAGTCTGTTTCTACCTTTAGTATTAATTAGGTAACCTGTCCAGAACCTCAATTTCTGATTCTGTAAGTTTAGGGTTAGATTAGATCATATTGAAGGCCCTCTCTCATTCTGGAATCTAATATTCTCTCTTAAATCTTTAATTAGGCATTCAAATATAAATTCACGTCGCTCACTAACGTACCTGTCCCATGACTTTCACCTAGAAATTTCTGTTCCTGGCGAGGGAGCTTCCTGCTGCTTTTTGAAACTTCATCTGTTACATAAGCTCTTAGAGAGCTGTGAGGGGTGAGTGTGATCCCGCTATCAGCACAGCTAATTGCCCTTTCTTCTCAAGTAGCCCTCTGAGGACTGACGTGGATCACACTTTTTCCTAGTCCTCTCTCGTTGGCCCTGCTACTGCCTTGTCTTTCTGCACCACCCGAATCTGCACTTCCTCTGAAGGCATCTTATATCGTGATTGGTGGAGAGATTTGCTCCTAGGAAAATCAGGAAAACTTTTCCTCCTCCCTACCAGCTGTTCACTCCTTAATCCCTGGCCGTCAAAGCTTCTACCCCCACCATCCTGCTGACATTAATGTCAAGATCACCTCCCTGACCAGTCCAATATCCTTCTCATGATCCTCCTTTTCTCCAGCTTCTCTAGTGCTCTTCATTCTGTCCTCTCTCTTGAAAATATCGCTTCCCCTGACTTCTTTTGATACTAATAATAAAGTTCCTTTCACTTTAGAGCTGACAAAACAATTTTGTAACAAGCCTGGAGAAAACCCTCACTCACAGAACTCCTCTCAGGTTAGAGAGAGATGGGACGGCAGTGTGGGATGTGAGCTGTGGACTACAGGGGGTAGTGGCAGGGTAAGGTGAGTCCCCCAAAAGGGCATATGTGAGTAAAAATAGGTGGTCACCAAACTTTCCAAGGATGAAAGTGGTCTTCTTTACTTGAGGACTTTTATTTTCTTGAGTAACCATGATGAATAGGAATGCAGGTCTATGGCAGAGCTAAAAGGCTCCCCATAATACAGTAACAACTGAGTGCCAGTAAGAGTGGGGGAGATACACCTCAGGGGAAGAAAGGAATGAACCACTAGCATCAAGGTGTGTAATATAATCCTCTTCTATGTTTCTTCATACAAAATCTTCAGTAAAGTCCACATTGCTGGCTTCCGTCTTTGGCAGTCATGCATTATCTGCTAAAGTCTGTGTCAAGGATGACATAGATCAAAACACACTGTTTGGCATGGGCTGGAAACAGACTGCATGCAGAGACAGCCACATATACATGGGAAGACAGTATCTCATTTGACCCCCCACACCATCCTCGTGACTTGGGCAGAAACAGAATTATTTGTCTGACTTTGCGGCTGAAAGGGAAAACACCACAGTTGCTGAGAGAGGTGATGTGACCAGCCACAGTCAGTAAAGGGCAGAAGTAAGATATGGACCCACTTGGCTCTTTGGGCTCCAGCAAGATCTCACTCAGGTATTTGCTTCCCTGCAGAATGAGCTTTTATTTTCCCCATTCTTTCTGCCTTCCTTCCCTCCTCCCACCTCCTAAACATGCAGCCTTCCTCTGAGAACTCAACCTCCTTAATGAGTTCGTGTCACCTCTATACAGGTGACACCTCCACACACACAAAAACACACAGACCTACATCTTCAGCCTTGACTTCTCCTTTAAACTTTGACCCCTTATCTCTCTCTACCAGCTGAACATTACCATCATTTTGACCTCAATACATCTAAAACCTAAACTCGTCTTTCCCCTCTTTAGTATTTCCTCTGGGCTGGTGTCATCCCCTAGATTTCCAGGCTGAAATGAGGGCTGGATGAACGACAGGATTCTCTGATTCCTCCTCCCGCCTCAAACCCGGCAGTCATCAAAGTCCTGTGGATCCTGCATTCCGGCTATCTCTGAGTTTCCCCTTTCCTCTTAAATCTCATTTCTATCTTGCTTAGTCAAGGCCCTCCTCACTTTACACCACAATTATTGTTTACATTCAATGAAAGTAGATTTTAATGTATGTTGAGTGGATTTTAAGGTATTGTTATAACATGAGATAGGGCCTCCGAAAATAAGCCTGCAACTCACAGAGGTCTTTTTACTTCCTGGGGCTTAAAAGTTTTCTCTTCTGCTACATCTAAATGGGACAGTGAGGCAGAAAAACTTTGATCCTCACAATGCACTTCTCCTCGACTCTGCAGGATGGACTCAGAGACACAGGGCACAGCCATTGTGAAGGCCAGCGCTCTGGTGCTCCGGAGAGTTTTAACACAGATCTGAATTTGCAGAGGCATCCAGGAGCTAATTTTAACCCTTCTAACTGCTAGCTGCCCCCACAAGTCATGAGAGCCTGTATGATCATCTCAACAAGTTTTATACTAAGAAT